CCTGGATGATCTACAGGAGGGGCATCAAGAAGCAAAGATGGAACCTGAAGATATTATTGAAATTGATAATCCTCACGATTTGGAGATCTTCTAGTTCCCAATGTTCTTGATAACAAAGTCTCTATAAAACATATTAAATGAGCCTTTCTTATAATCCCATGGCTTCTTGTTTTCATAAGCTGCAGAAACATGGGAAATATTTGATGCTGAAGAACATGACATAATTCTTAGCTAAATTTAACAGCATGAAAGATGTTAATTGTCCTGTTTGTTTGCTGAGTCCTCAAAAACTTAACATTTTTCTAGATAACAGCTCTGCGTTACCATGTTGGTTCCTTAGGAACTTTTTTTAGCCATGTGTTAGGTTTAGGAATTAAGGCTATGTTTTAAGGAAATACATCATATTTAATTTGCTGAAGCTAAAGAAATCATCAAGTGAGCAATGCTCCTCATTACGATGGCACAGAAAAAATAGTATAAAGTTAGTCTTGACATAAAAGAATGTGTGTTCTTAATATGGCAGTGTGTTGACAAGAATAGCAGTGTTTATAGGATTAAGACCTGTAAAAGCAGATTGGTTTGTGAAATAAACTTAATTTTAATAGTGAATGACCTTTGAATAACAACCTTGTAAATAAGCACTGTTGAGCAATGTATGTTTTAAATTTCTGCAACAGTTTAATCCTTTGTATTACAATAGTGGCTTGAGCTTCCTGCCTGTTCTGTTTAGACTTTTTCCATGATTAGACACACACACGACTTATACAGATCTTTTTGTTTGAAAACAAATATAACTGAATGCTTTCTCACTAGTGAGATTTTACTAAACTGTGTTCCCCACGAGGGTCTGTAGACTCTTCATGCTGGTATAAACCCTTTACCTTGCAGTTCTTGTTTCCAGGCTTCCTCTCATGAGTGCGGTAGGATAAAGAAATGTGCGATTGCAGAAGTTCTGACGTTTTTCTATGCCGACTCTTAAGAAATTAATAGTATGCAAAAAATGATTTTTTTACTTGATGCAGAAGACTGTTGTGTAGTTTGTAAGTTCAGTTGAAGACAACTTCTATGTTGAATGTTGTTTTTAATATAACTGAAGAACGTGTGACACTGATATGTATGATGTCTAAAATGCTTTATCACTAATAAGTTGTGTTTTTGTGACCAGACACTATTTTTCCAGTATAAAATATTTCTGAAGTATTAATGAATGAATTCACTTTCAAACGCAACAACAAACTTCTGCACATAAATTTTGTTCACTTGGAGTCCTTGGATTTCAGAAGCAAAGCATATCACTAAAACACATAATGAAGTTATAATATTGAACAATCCAGTACTGTCAAGAGCTGGTATTTAAAGGACTACAACATTTGAAGAGAGTTCTTAACATACAGCACATTCCATTATATGCTTTACTAAATTTAGAGTTTTGACTTTTCTGCATTTTTCTCTTCATGTGCCAGAGCTCCCTATTGTTAAGAAGTTATTCATCAGATGTGAAGCATGCCTTTGCTGGTAGTAGTTAAACTTGCTGAAATAACAAAAAGTTTTGATTTGTTCATTAACTTTCCTAACAAACCTGTGATGGTCAGAGTACTAAACTGGTAACGCATGTAAGGGAAACAGAATTTTGCACTATTTTGTACTATTGTACTATTAGTACTATTTGTACTAATAGTTTCATCCTAGTTTTGGGAGCTGCTTGGGAATGTCATAACAATTTTCTGGATAGAATCAGAAAATTTTAATGGTGGTTTAAGCAATTTCTTATTGTTATGTAATTTTCTGCTAATGAGCACTGTATTTTTTAAATGTTAGTATTTTTTATGTTGATTTCCCAGGTAAGGGGTGCTGAAACAATGTGTAAAGTCTTCTCTTTAACAAAAGGAAGATGATACAGAGTGTCCCTTCCTTCCTTCCGGTGTCTAACTGGCCTTTGCTTACCTTCTGTTTTCTCTGTTTTCTATTTTCTTCGGCTTTCAACACAGTCCTTTCAAAAGGAAGCCTGTTCAAAACCATGAGCAACTAGTCTTCATTCCTATTACACCAGCAATTTCTTTTTCTTTACTTTTGGTATCAAAAAGATTGCACCAGGCAGCACCAGTTTTTGTGTGGCACTGTAGCGACTGCAGTTGAACTTTGGTTTGTTAGTGGGGTCGCGGAGCTGATCCTCCCCTCTCCGCAGTCTGGCACAGGCCCCTGCCCTCTTCTGTGGGATGCAGCTGCTTGTGCTGGGGAGGGGGGGGGTGGTGGCAGCCCGGCACTGGCCGCATCGTGAGTCCATGTGTGACAGAGTTTGAGGCTTGTGTCACCAAGCCTTGAGTTGAGCGTGGGCAGTGCTGGAGCTGAGGAGCCCAGGGCTTTGGAGTCTGGTGCTGCAGTCACCACAGTTTCCAGCAGGACTGATGCAGATGTGCAAGGGTGAGAAAGAACAGGCTGTGACATTCCTGTGTGTTGCTGTAGGTCTGGCTCTTCTCTCTGTATGTGACTGAGCTTGCTGGAAGGTGTTGAGAGGGATACAGTGGTGGTCACGTTCATCTTCCTCATCAAACAGCTTTTCACTACTCTCTCTTCATTTTCTTTCAAAATTACTGCAAGAGTAGCATGGGTAAGGCTAGAGGTTTTCTCTCTGAACTCCCACATGTTCAACTTGTCTAGTCTGTCCTGAGATGATACTTGCAGAGATAGCAGCTCTGTTGTGCTTGTTAGTCGACTATGGCTTGCGACTCAGCTGGCTTGCATGGGCTGTGTTTTGTCTGGGAACATAATGCCCTGGTGTTGAGATTTTAGTAGTTGATGTTTTACAGACCAAAATGCAAATACAAGGGTTGGGTTTTGTGTTCTTACGTTTCTCTAATGGGCAGATGTGATTGAGGCATCATCTTTACTGCAAATGTAGACTGCATATTGCTGGGACAAATATCACCCTCCATCCCTTAAGCTATAACAGTGTAATAAGCCATCTCTGTCATGCCTGAAGCAGACAGTGAAAATGTGGGAAATGTGCTCTGGTTTGAAAACAGAAAGCTTGTTTGTAACCAAAGATGTTTTTCTTCCGTATACCCCAAATTCAAGTAAGAAAACAATGCTTTTTGGTATCACAGGAAAAATTAATTTATTAATGATTCAGTTTTATAGTGGATCATGACGGCATCACTTTAATTACAATATTACAGATTCTTCTTCCCCTTCCAAGCAGATGATCTCATTAAGATGTTTTTATGTCCTGCAGGCTTACTAAATGCTCTTTGCCAAAATTCTCAAGCAAGCATGGAATGACCTAGTGCTTACTGTGACGCCTTGGAAAGAAGATATAAAGAATAATTTGAATTGAAAGGTAGTGATAGTGAGATCAGAAAGTGGTTTTGTATTGCACGCAGCTTAATAGTTGTCCCATACTCCCCAAGGTGCTGCTGGGTACCTGCAGCAACTCATATTGAATCAAGTTCCAAAGATCAAGCCAGACAGCAATGTTTTGCTATTCTCTCTGTACCATATTCATAGTGCTAGTAGGACATTTTATCCTGGAGCTTATCACTGTCTAAAACATGTCTAAATCTTAGTCTGTTTTTATCATAATTTAAAAAAAAAAAAATGTGTGACCGTGACTCCTTTTATATGTTATGAGAAACAGTTAGAGACAGATAGCTGGCACATGCAGGGTTACTCATTCTGTAGGACTGTGTGGTTTCTGAAAGATCTATGAGGGGCCAAAGAGGGAGAGGAAGAGGAAAACCGCAATAACAAGGTATAAAGGTAATGGGAGAAGTGAATGAAAAGGAGATGACTACATTAATTATGACAATCACTGTTACAGAGAAGTTGAACTCCTTGTGCTTTGTCAGAGTAAAGGTGTGGAGGGGTAGACTGGGTAATAAAGAAAATTATGAGTTTTTCAAAAGGTGTTTTATTTCAATCTGTTATAAAACTTTGCTATGACAACCCTCATGTGCTGCTGCTGCTGTTTTGACACAGAAAAGTCTGCCAGAGGCGCTTTTTTAAAGTTCAGTTTATTTCAGTGTACAGAGAATTGTGTTCATGGCTCCAGTGAAGATGGGCTTACTTGGTACCCCACTCCTGTTTCTAATTCTTACTGGTCAGCAGCATGTCAAAGATACAAGTCTGTGTCTGAACTACTGTGGTACTTCAGTGATCCTGGGAATATCCAGTCTTGGAGCCTTTGCATCATAGTTTGTTCATGGGATTCAGGAACCTGGCAGAGACGACGATTGCAATTTCCTAGGACCACCTCTTGGCTTCAGCAGGCAGCTGGAGAGCGTGTTACACAGTGGCAACCTTTGCAGCAACTGTGGCCTCTTGATAATTTGCACCTACTGCATCCTATCTGTCTCATTCATGGCCAGCCAGGCCCTTGGAAATTCTTGCAGAACAAAACTTCCCAATATTTAGAAAGGACATATTTGAAGCTTTCTCATCTCCGTATCTGCAACCCTGATAGATGCCACTTTTTCAGAGACGTGGAAGGAGGAAGGAACACCCAACTGTGATAGATTTAATATGGCCCAGCCAAACACATTCCTCAAATCACAAATATACAGACCTAAATACTGATGAAAACGGAAATACGTATCTGGAGTTATAACAGGAGGCTCCACACACAGGTATTCTAGATACTACCTTTTAGGTCAATTGTTTCTTTTTTGCTTGAGCAGAGAGATTCATTTTTCAGTTATTTTAAAAAAAAAAAAAGTAAACCAACATTTTTGTATCATTAAATAAATGCAGCAGAATCTTTCTTATCTTGAAAACTTCACCCCAGAAAGCATTTTTTTTTCCCTTCAAAGCTCATTTGTGATTCAGTATATCAGCATTCTTGTTTAAAACAACATCCCTTTGAAAGGTATTCTCATTTTTCCCCAGAAGTTGCACTTTTTTAATTTGCCCCCTGAATTTTTCATTTGTTCTATCAGTTGGTTTGTTTTTTTTTTTTAAATGATAGTCAAGCTATTTACAGTAATTATTTTCTATTTGTTCTTTAGTTACCACTGACGAGTTTGCATTGACAGCCTCCAACCACTGGAATGTCTTTATTCATCATGCAGAACTTGCTGAAATATATACTGAGGCTCTGGAAGACAGTTTGTTCTTGGAACATGAAGAAAGACTTTGCCATGAAGATGAAAGAAAAGCCTCCAAGAAAAAATAAACGCCTTGGGAAACGTTAATTGCTGATATCCTCATGCATTCCTATGTTTCTAGATACTGGGTAACCGTGATTGCTCATGCATGCAGAAAACTCATGACCTCCTCTTTCCTCTTACAAACAAGCTGGAACAGTATAGTATGTAATGTTGAAATGGCATACAAAACTCCACCAAACTGTTGTGTGGACTGTTTTCTTTATAGAGAAAAGTTAAAAAAACTTGCCTTAATATTGACCTGCTGTCCTTGGTAAAGAATATGAGAACCCAAAATACTTTGGAGTCACTCGGCACTGGTGAGGCCGCACCTCAACTACTGTGTTCAGTTTTGGGCCCCTCACTACAAGATGGACATCGATGTGCTGGAGCATGTCCATAGAAGGGCAACGAAGCTGATGAAGGGTCTAGAGCACAGCTCTTATGAGGAGCGGCTGAGGGAGCTGGGGTTGTTTAGTTTGGAGAAGAGGAGGCTGAGGGGAGACCTTATTGCTCTGTACAACTACCTGAAAGGTGGTTGTAGTGAGGTGGAGGTTGGTCTCTTCTGCCAAGTAACAAGCAATAGGATGAGAGGAAGCAGCCTCAAGCTGTGCCAGGGGAAGTTTAGGTTGAATATTAGGAAAAAATTCTTCACCGAATGGGTGGTCAAGCATTGGAACAGGCTGCCCAGGGAAGTGGTTGAGTCTCCATCCCTGGAGGTATTTAAAAGATGGGTAGACGTGTGCTTGAGGACATGGTTTAATGGTGGACTTGGCAGTGCTAGGTTAACAGTTGGACTCAATGATCTTAAGGGTCTTTTCCGACCTTAACTATTCTATGATTCTAAGATTTTGGTGGAAATTCTTTTTTTTTTTTCAATTCGGGAGGTGCATTTTTGACCCCCCTTTTTTTTTTTTTTTTTTTTAAGCAGTACTGCTATTTCTCTGCCTAACTGAAATGAAAATAAACACTTTTAACTCCTCTGTAGCAGGGATAAATTATTGCCAAGCCTACTACAGTGAACTAAGATTTTCTGAAGGAAGAATTTCTGATCTACAGTCCTTGACACCTTTTAAAAGAAAAGGAGAAAAATGCAGAAAAATTCTCACAGGTCATCAGGGAAAATGTCCTGAAGATCTAAGTGAAGAATAAGCTGAAGTAAATGAACGTATAAAATAATTAATCTCCACAAATCACAGCAGTTGGTTCCAGCCATCCAAATGCCTTCCCTGTAGAGCTGACAGCCCAAAGAGGATGCATACATCTAAGAAGTGGTGTCATTCAATTTTGTCTTGTGATTCTATCGCAAACACCTCATTGTGTACATACCAAGTTGTCAAGCTGGAGGCTGGCAAGTGGGAAATCTAAAGAAAAAAATCTTTAATTTTGCAACGGTTTGAGTATTTCATAGGTTTTCCAGAAAGTGTTTTTAATATCCTGGATACCTGTTTGACTTTTGCCTTATGTGATCCAAGTAAGTTTGTTTATTGTAATGTTTCTCTGGATACTTTATTATTGTCTTTTAAAATATTGTATGCTAAAGCTTTATTTTAGGTTACTCTCTTGAAAAATGTGTTTTATTCCAAGTTACCCTATCTTCATATTCTGTTTTGTAGTGGTCTAACTCTATTAAATCCAATGGACAAAAGCTGGTTTCAAATCTGTAGGAACTTATCAATAGAAATACAAAATTGCCATGGAAACAACTGAGAAGGGCTTTGAAGATTTCTACATAATTACTATCCATTTATTTTTGTGTACATAGAAATACTGATCTCCAAATACTGTTATTTTTCCTTAAATGGTCTCAAATCTAGAAAAGTTGCATTTATATTTACTTAGGAGAATATGTAGAATATATCTTGCACCTTGTTTCTCCCTGCAGAACTTCTGTCACAGTGGATAAAAATCTATGGTTGATACAATCTTCTTTTCTACAGAAGGCAATAAAAATGAGCTAATGCATCATTGCTACTAATGCTACTAATGAGTCTATTTCCCTGCTCTGAAAACATGTAACATGTTCTGTTGTTGTTTTTATTTCCTTTTGATTTTTAATGTTACTCCTCTGAGGTATTTTCTGCAAACTGGTTAATTTCTTACATTATCCAGATTTTCCACAATGAAAGGCATTCAAGATTAGTTTCTATGCAAGAACATCTACAGTACTTCTCAAAAGACTGATGCTTCAGTAAAATCATTTGCTAATTTTAACAAAATCTTTGGAGGTAAACTGAACTTCTTATGTGATCGTGTTGTCATTTTGCAATGACTTATTGATTGTATAGTGCTCTATTTTAGTGTTTTCAGTTTGGGATGACTATGTCTAAAGAAATCAGAATTTGTACGTGTGGAAGGAGAATAGTACTGTCATGTTCCTTTTTTTTTAAGGATTAATTATAACTACTCTTTTGTCAAAATACTTATAACTGGGAGTAAGAGAATACTGAGTACACTTGTGTGAAAATTCCCACAGAAATTGTCTGACAGTACCTGGTATCACAATTTAACATCTCAGACTCTTTCCTCTGAGGGTTATGAGCTGAAGATATTCTTGGGTTCCTTCAATTTCTGATGCATTTGCAGGCTTGTATGCTCCCAGTTTAGCCAAAAGTATACAGCAGATGAATACCTGAGCACTACAGCTGTAAAACTATAATTGCCTTTGCACTTTTCAGAATGATTGAATGAAAAGAAGAGGGTGCCAAGCAAGCAGCAAAAGACATGGCTTTAGGATTCCCTACCTTTTATAGTAGGTAATCAAAGAGATGATTTTTTCTTGCATTACTCTTTGTGCCTTGGCAGTCTGCCTCCACTCTCAAGAATTTTCTGTGCTCAGCAGCTCTCTCTGGCAGTGTTACCGCCCCCGTGAGTTTCCTGTAGATAGATACAAAAGCATATACGGGATAAGCAGCATGCCAAGTAGCCTGGCCTCTTGGCAAACCATTTTCTTTCCTCCCTCCCTTCCTTCCTCCCTGCTGCAGCTTTGTTTACTTTTTTCCAGCAGCTCCCAGGCGTGTGAATCCTTAGGAGAGAAATGATTTCATATGCGAAAGGAAGACATAGGTCTGCTGCAATTTTCTCTGTACAGCAATCACCTAGAGAATAGAGGAGTGTGTAGACAAAACAAGCTTTAAAGTAATTCTGAGTTCACCTTAACAATTATGTGAGGAGTTAAACAGACGAGATTAAAACAGGTATGGAAGAGGTTGTTCATGTAATTTATCACTCTGCTGATATCTAAGAAAACATAGTCCCTGCTCAAGAAATTTCTAAGAGTAGAATCAATAGGCTCCTCCAGCAAGCCCTTAAAAAAGTGGGAAATAGAATAAAAAAGAAGAGAATAGAATAGTTGCAGTTGGAAGGAACCTAAACCAGTCATCTAGTCTGCCTGCCTGACCACTCCAGGGCTGACCAAAACTTAAAGCCTCTTATTAAGGGCATTGTCCAAATGCCTCTTTTTAAGGCACTGACAGGCGTGGAGCATCGTCCGCCTTTCTAGGAAGCCTGTTTCAGTGTTTGACCACCCTCTCGGGAAAGCAATGGTTCCTAACGTCCAGTCTAAACCTCCCCTGCAGCAGCTTTGAAGCATTCCCACGTATCCTGTTGCTGGATCCCAGGAGAAGAGATCAGCACCTCCTTCTGCACTTCTCCTCCTCAGGAAGCTGTAGGGAGCAATGAGGTCACCCCTCAGCCGCCTTCTCTGCAAGTAGACAAGCCCAAGGTCCTCAGCTGCTCCTCACAGGACATGCCTTCCAGCCCTTCCACCAGCTTTGTTGCCCTCCTCTGGCTGCATTCAAGGACCTTCACATCCTTCTTAAACTGCAGGGCCCAGAACTGCATACAGAATGGTACACAATACTTCTTTGGCCTTTCTGGAGCTTTTGGGAGCTGCCAGTTTTGTCCAGGGAATCTTAAGCCTCCCAGCTGTGAACTGTAACTGATAACACTGCTAAACCATCTCTGTAAAATGACTTGATGTGAGGAATAGATTTTAAATATTTTATTTTTATGGGGAAATTAGTTTAAATGGACAAAAGCAGAAAATTATTCCCTGAAGATATAATTACTTGCAATTACAAAATTGCCATGTATTCACCATGGTTCAGAAACTCCTAAAAATTACTCCAAGTAAATGCATGTGCCTTGACCGTTCAGATCAAGATAAAGCGGTTAGATGTTAACACTTCAAGACACAATACTTTTAGCCTTTTAATTGAGAACACCATTTAGTATGATCTAATGAACCTCCTTCAAAACCCTGTTCATTGCTGTGTATGTACCAGGTCATATCACAGGACACAAGGCTGCACTACTGCTTTCATTTATTTATCAGACTTTTATCTGGCACTGGGTAGAAAAGAGAGAAAAGCATTTCCAGTGAAACAAAATCAGAATAATAAACAATGGTTTACTGCTATGCTTTCTGGTTTTGTTCAGAAGAATTTTACAATCAAAAATGTTGTTGGCATTTTTGAAGTTGTACTGAGGCTGTTTGAGAAAGCTGTTTTCAGAAATAGTAGGGATTGTTTTTTTTCATAACCCAGTGACTGACCCTCCTTATCTATAGAGTTGTGTTGGGAAGAGTAAGTTTCTTTGAGAGATTTCACTACTTCGGGGGGGGGGGGGGGGGGGGGGGGGAGGGGGCTTCAAGGG